ATGTTAGTGAGCTTGACACCAACAAAGAAGAGTGTTTTCATTTATCCCACAGCCTGCTTCTGAGATGGATTTAAAGCTTCATGGCAAATGACTGAATATTGCTTCAGCTCTCCAACGTGTCACCTCAGCTTTACCATTCACTTATGTTGCCTATTTGGCACAGACTGACAGACAGCATCCAAGTTAAAATTAACAAGACACCATAGATAGGTTTAGACTGTCATTTTTTTCCTCATATACTCACTTGCTGTTGATTCTAAAGGTAACGTGTTTTCCTGTCATGCTGTGAAAAGTTAAATCAAAGCTGAAAACTCTGATTATGTTGTTGCATTATAGATTTCTAAAGAGATTTAAAATGTATTTCATGGATTTTAAACCTCTGTTAAATTTATTACACCTCTCTCTCCAGAAGGTGGAACAAGGTGCACAATTACACATATACAGTAGCCGTATGTATATTCAGATATTTAGGTGTTCAGACCATTATTACTCTACATGTGCACTGTTTAGGTTCTCACTTGAGTCATGCAGCAGGAGTTGGTTACCACATCCTGACAAATTATTTGAGTGAATTTTGCATCTTGGTGCCATCAGGTACCCTTGCCAGAACACTTATGGAGTAAAGTGCATGTGTTGAAGAGCTTTAAGAGTACTGTAAAGACACTAATCAAAGGGCTAATCCTGCCCCAGTCACTGAAGTAGCTCAGCAGGTAGGATGAAAGAAGAAAACAGGGAGGAATAAAAGAAGTTAAGTGGAGGAGAGAAGTACATCCTGTACTGAATTGTGTCTTTATCAATGTAGCAGATATTTTAACTTAGCTGTGTTTTTTCTCTGAAATTCAAGGGCTTATTTTATTTCATATAGGGTTTAGTTCAAAATGCCCTTACTTTAAAAGAGATATTTTTTCTCATCAACATAATCATTAATGTTAATTATTTAACTGTTCCTTCATCAACAGAAGTAACAAAAAATGGCCAGGGAGTGTAAAAACAGAAGGTTATAGTAAACTAAGGAACCATACAGTATATGCTTGGTGGGAAGTGAGTGATGCACATTAGTCAGTTATCCACAGGAATGAATACCAAAGTTCAATATAAAACAAAAGACTTGGCTTGTTATTTAGATTCAGGTAGGATCTTTAAAATTATAGGCCTCCTAGAAGCAGCTTGACCCTCCTTCCCCAGGTTCAGAGAAGCAAAAGACAGCAGCCTGTGCCAGTTATAGACGATGCCCTAGGCAGAGCGAGCGCAGCGACCTCCCTCCTCCCGACACTGAGCAGCAGCAGCTCCCTGATGAGGCCCCCGAGCAGGCTGTACGAGGTCACCCCGGCCTGTTGGCCTAGTGGAGGAGAAACAAAAAGGGAATAAAAGTGAGAGGGAGAAGAAAGAGACAGGTGAGATAACAGGAGAGTGACAAGAGGTAAGAGAGGCAGAAAGAAGTACAGCTACAGAGAGGGGAATGGAAATTCAGACAGAGATGCTTATCTTTGTTTGCTTTGTGAACTCTCTGATGTCCAGAGCTTTGTTCAGCTACTGTTCAGCACATCCATCTCCCCATGACCTCTGTGTGGAACAGAAAAGTAGCACTGTGTTCATTCACAAAAGTGTTGCCTGTGAGCATAATCCAGGCAGTAATCACACTACTGGGAAAACAAATTAGTGGTGTGTAATATATACCTATCTAAGTTTTATGAGACAGGGTTTCCAGGGATCAGAGCACAGACCGTACTGTCAGAACAAAACAAAGCAGGATGGTCCATTCCAATGCATTACCTGGATAGACTGGCCACAGATTCTCAGTCTAAGTGGTCAAATATGTCAAAACTTAATAAAGTGGCATAATCCCAGTCCTATGGATGAAAATGATAACGGCTTTGAGCCTGGCTCTAAATCTCTGCCTTGCTGTCGCTGCATAGATTTGATCTTTCCCCAGCTGTGGGCTGTCACCTCGCCAGTCTCCTTCAGTCCCTGCCTCACACAGCGGGGTGTACTGAGCACTCGGTTTCCATTGTTAACGAATGGACCGGTGTCACTAACCCAAGGCTTCATCTCCATATGTGCGCCGGGTGCTCAGCAGTGCAGCCGCACACTTTGGCCACAAGGGGGTTTCATATGTACAGTCAAGCAGCCTTTGCAGCACTCGCAATAGTGAATAGTCATTTAAAATATACCCTACATCTCCAAAAATTTCATCAAAAGCCGTTCACTTTTTGAGCTATGCTGTTAACAAACAAACCAACAAACACCGGCAGAAGCATAACGCCCACCCTCGGTGAAGGTAATGAAGACTAGTGTCACAGTTGTTTATTTCTCCTTAAGTATCTAAAGTTGCAGAAACTGTCAAACATTTTGTTTCTTATTCAACCATTTCCCTTAATCTGTAGATTAGAGTGTAATTAGATTAGAGTGTGGCTCATGGGTAGTGCACATCAGGGTCAACAACAGGCCACCATGTCTTGTCATGTGACATCAGTGCCTGACCTCACTTTTGTGACTGAATGGGAGAAAGTCCTTGCAGCCAGGTGTCAAAATGTTGTGGAAAGCCTGAAACCGAAAGAGAGAAGGCTGTTATATCAGCAGGTTTTTCCGGAGATCAGCAGTCACGTGCACATACTGCATGAGTGTAGTGTTCAGACGGACTTTGTTTGCTGCTTTTGCCAACGATTTGTAACTGTTAAGTGGTTTGACATGGCAGACATAGTAGTCATAGTACGTAATTGATAGTAGCAGTAGTAATAGTCAAAGCAGCGGTATTGTGCTTTTGTTTGTTGTTGTTGCATTTGTTTACAGTATGTGTGAATGTGTGTGTTTCGTCTTGTTGCGTCACCACTGATTTCGGTATAATCAGGCTGTGGAACCTCAGGCGGTTCTCTTCAGTGTAGCATCTGGGGAGAATCGGCCTCTGTACTGTAAACGCCCTTTCTAGGGAAAATGCCGTTTTTCTTTCATGCGTTCTCTCTTCTCTTCCGCGCTGCTGTTTGTTTATGTGAGTCTTCTTTAAGTCGGGCTCTCTTTTAATATCTGTCGCCTTCAAGAACATGTTCAGGATTATAAGTGTGTGCTCAAGTGTTTGGATGTCGTGGGGGAGAATGTGAATATACACTCACAGCCACTTTATTAGGTACACCTGTAAACTTGTAAGCAATTCAATGCAACTCTTCTGCCTTAATCTGTGTTTAAACTCAAAATGTTTCATTTTTAGTGAAATTGTCATAAATGTCATGGAGGTGTGAGGCATGTTGGAACAGCAGCTTGGTGTAGTGACAAGTTAAATATGTTTGTTCACACTCCTGTAAGATGGTCAGCACATACCTTCAGTACCCGCCCAGGAACTCCCTCTGGACGAGCCGCTTTGCTTGCTTTGACTTTCCTCAGAAAGGTCCTCACCTCATATTGGTTGAGGACCAGTGTCAGCTTGTCATAACTGAGGTGAAGAGCGGAGAAGCCTCCTCCCTCTGGGTGTCACAGAACTGGTTGAGGGCACCAGGCAGTGTGGTGTCATCATACAGCAGGAGGTTGCTGGTTTTATAGTCCATCAATGTCCTAATGCTGTTCCACATGCTGACAAAAGCAGCACTGCCTTTCTGTGCCAGCAGGTTATTACAGGTTATTATCATTAGGCGACTGTAGTAATTATGACACAAGCAATGGATAATTTTAAGTGACTCAGTATATAAAGCATTAGGAGGAGGATGGGATGGAGACTGGTGTTCAATTCCAGCTAAAAGTCAACTGAAAATTGATGGTGCACCGATGGTTAATAGAACCTCAACAAGAATTGAGTCCAGTGCAACAGTTTGATCGTTTTCTACACATGTATGGCATTGTGTAAGAAATTAGTTTGGGTAGGGAAAATGAGTCTGTATGTGTCTGCACATGACATGTAATAAGTAAAACACCACAGACCTGATTTTGATAAAACTCCAGGGAGTCATGCATCATCACGCCACTCTGGCATTTTCAAAATTACTGTTTGGCCCATGGTTGGGGCAGCAATTACCTGGTAAACATTTTAATAACTAGTCATATCTCACATGCTATTGGGGGGAATAAAATGAAACTTGAAGCACATATCAAACTATCCATGCTCTACAAATTTGTTTCCAGATCTAACAGTTTGCAACATATTGGATTTTCCACTGTTTTGAGTAGCTACGTAATTAGTTTGCCCCCGTCTTGTTTTTCTTTTTTTAATTTAATTTAATTTACTGATCGCTGCAGGAGTCACTGTCTCATTTGTACCATCCTTCTAATATGGGTCAAAACAGATGTGAAAATGCAAAGAGTAGATATATATACTGTGCATGTGTGTGTGTGTGTGTATTTAATTATCACACATACAGACCTGAAACTGATTTGTTCCAGTCCTTGTAACAGAGGCACAGTTTCCAGCTCCTTAAGATGAAGTAACAACACTTCACAGTAAACTTATGAAATTGTCAAGCTCAAGGTTTTCAAGGTGTAGTTATCTCACATCTTTTCGACACAGTGGCACTAATGCTTGACAGCAGTGCTTTTAATTGTCTGCAGAGGTTTCAAAATGCACTTAATGCTGGTCAATAGAAGACTTTTATGTAAAATACATCTGTCACCTAACCTTTTATGCTAATCGCTGTGTCGGGCAGCAGTACAGAAAAACCTTTGGTTGCTGCTGAGAC